TAATTTTTCTTTATGTAATTTAAAAGTCTTTGGTGATATTTTATTTATCCATTCCCGTAATTGCTTGGGCTGGATATATCTGTTTCACGAATATAAGTTTCATTTTATTTTTATCATTATACATAATTTTTCTTGGGCACACCAGGTTCTTCGCAATTTTTTTGTTCTGCGTGCTTTTAAAGCACTTCTATTACTGATTATGACCATTTCAAATTAATATCTTCATCGAAAAATGTATTTATATTTCTTCAGATATAAATAACAATAAATTTTCTTTCGAATATAATTATACATAGAGATTATTTAATACTTTGCCAAACAATAACGATAAAATCCATAATAATAATGATAAGAATTTTTAAGTATATAGCATACATAATAAGACTTTTAAATACAGCACAAAGAGTTGTTAAGAATATAATTAAATTATTCAGTTCTTTTATTTAATTAGAAAAGATTCATTATTTGTAAAATTACATGAGCTGCTTGATTCAAATGTTGTGACGAGATTGTTATTTCTAATGCTAATTCATAGATAAGAGTTTCTTTTCTCCTCATTGTTAATTTAAGTGATACAAGTCTATAAAAAAAATACGCACCATAAAAATATCCGTGCATAAACTTTACAAGGGGAGGGTACTATAAAGAGCATTTTATGATAATTTATTACTGGTTTATTAATCATCTTGATCATCATTATCTCATTACCAACATGACCAATGGGTAATGTACATGTATTACGTATACTGTTACCGAAGTGTAACAAATTTCATTGATCTCATAATTTCTGAAGGTCTCATAATTTCTGAAGGAGCCCGTTCATCCCGATCTCAATAAGTTATTTCAATTATCCAAGCTCCTTAGTGTAATGTTCCATCCTTTCTATTTTAAATCGACTCCTGTTTTCCTCTTTCCAAAAAAGGTAATTCATTTACGAAATTCGCTTTTCATCTACCCATTTTTCGCTTTTGATTGTTTCCCATTTTTTGCTTTCATCTGTCTTTTTCTTTGTGTTTACGTTTTTTGCTTTTCCATTTGATTGACAGCTCATTTTTCATTACTCGTTTTTTATCTTTTTTATCCATCTTTTGCTTTCATTATCACCTGTTGTTCGTTATTAACTGATCTTTAGATCAGCGTCTTCACATTTTTCACTTTCGACTTCACCAATAATTTTTCACTTTATTCGAATTCATTTTCATTTCTTATTATTTCACTCCCATACCTGATTATAATCACGATTTTGCTTTTGATTGATTCTACTTTATTTCCTTTTTTTTAAAAAGTTCTCTTTCTTCAATAGTATATATAGTAATAGAATCTAGAGAAATACTCTTACTCTACAATGTAAAAATCAAAATATATATATGGTCCTCATGGACTTCAATAAAAATGCAGAATCAATTGTGTACAATTCTTCTCCAAGTAACGTAACTCTTGTAAAACGAAATAATTGTGTACAATTCTTTCACCTTGCAGTATAGCTTGTTAAAAGATTGAAACGATTAATGGTTAGGTTCTTTGATCCAGAAAAGGCATAGTTATTGATTAAATGACATATTGATTGATAATAAACGCATTTGTAGAATAATTTAAGCTTTTGTCTAGAAAAAGCAATCGTCATTATTAAATATTGTTAATAGAAGTAACCCGTTACTTAAAATTAAAGAAAACCAAATCTCCCAAAATTCTCTTACCTAAATACAAATCCTTGTAAAGCCTCTCTAATATTACTAAACCCAACGATATCCGTAAATATCAGCACAGGAACTAGATAACGAACGAATATAAATCAGTTTATACACTTTTCCCCCTCAATTGTTGTAGGTAAAGTCGTTAATTACGCCTAATTACGATCCACTTGCAACAGTATAATGAAAAAAATGAGAAATCTAAACTATTCATTATCATTATCGTTATGCATATACTTAACGTTACCGTTACCGTTACCATTTAAAAAAAATCACGTAACTCGATATTGAATTTCTAATTGGTTCGCCGCAAGTTACACCAAAAAATTCCTAATGGATACTAATCCTCTATTTCATGAATCATTTTGCATACATCATTATTTTTTTCACTCGGATTGATTTTTTCCTGAGTGTTTCCATTGGAAACACATTTTACCGATTCGCTACGCAGGATATATGCATAAAGTGTAAGAGTATTATTTGTAAATACCACGAAAAAATCACATTTAGAATCAACTCGCTGAGTAACAAAGTATGGAGGTAACCAACAACAACCATCAAGTTATAGTAAATAATGAACCCAGAAAATAAACATATTCATCAACATTTTCTCTTAGATAACTAAGATAACAGTTACAAGCATGAAAAAAATCACAGTTAGAATCAACTCGTTGAATAATAAGTATGGAAGCAAATTTATTCAGTGGTCTTTCCCTCACTATGTATACATTAGTCACCATCCAAGATTTAGAAGTGTTCATGTCGCGTAGTCTCATTAATAGTGGGAGAATGTTATATGATGAGACACTGCTCTTTAAAAGGAGTTTAGAAATATATTGAAGAAAAATGGTGAGTTAAGAAACCACAAATTTTGTGGTTTACCGCAATTTTAATCGTCAGCGCTCTTGAACAAAGCAAGTGAGAACATTTAATCTGTATCTATTGCTTAATAAATTTAAAATTTATTATATTATGGTTTTTTTATTTGTATAGGTTGGCTGATTATTTCGAAGGAGAACCAGAGTGACAATGCATAAAGGAGAAACTAAAAAGCTTAAAGAGTCTTCGTGGACCACGCACCAAAAATCCCCTCAATTTCATTGCAAACAAAAATCTCGAATATGTAAAAGCATCTGTGAGTTAGTTTGTGACTACTTGAAGATTACCACCATTATGCATATTGAACCACTTCTGCAAAGTCAAGAACGCTGCTATTAATGATTCTTGAATATCTTACTGTTATCAATATATATCTTAGATACACACGTCTAATATAGCATTTATGATTTCCTAAATTAAAAAAATTAATTTATTATCGTTATTAGTGTTGGTGGATCTTAACATTAATAATAATTGTATATCTTATAAAATAGACTCGTGTTTTATAAATTTTACTCACTATCGCTATCGCGTGAATATTGAATTTGTTACCCTGCGTTAGCGTTAGTGTTCCCAATCTAGATAATCAGAAAATCTTATCATTATACGTTCGATATGGAAAGTTAGAGGTGATTGGATACTTTTTCATGTTACTGTGAATTGAAGTTCTATAGTAATCTGGTTAGTTCTGTCGCAAGTTGTAAAATACGTATAAAGTTAATAATTATAATAAAAAAGATAATTTATTGAATTCAAATATAAGATAAAATGGGGTATTTCAGTGAATGGGGATTAAAGATGGCGTGGCAACTGTTACAATGTGGTGACAAATAAAGCATCACCTAGTTGCAACTAGTTGCAGCTTATAAAATTTTGGAGTTGCAATGTGTTGCAACAGGTAACAAATAAGCATTACATACTTGCTGCGCCATTTCTAATGAAGATATTGTATATTGTATATACACATCTTAAGCACATATTGTTAGTATAGCTTATTTTTTTAGTTTCCATATATATAGAGGATGGGTATTTTTACTCTTCATTTCATGCTCCTTGTGGGTGTACGTATCATTTTTCATGCATCAATCATTTGACAAACAATGTTAATAATGACAACTTTCACTTCACAACATATAAATCTTCATTTTGGACATAAAATTATTATACGTCATTTCAGAATTCACGTCAATTCTGAATTGATGTATATTGTTTTAGAATTTCAAAATAATGTGACTACTATACGTCATTTCAGAATTCACATCAATTCTGAATTGACGTATGTTATTTCAAATTTCAAAATGACGTACGTCATTTTGAATTCAAAATTAACTACATCATTTTGGAATTCAAAAATGATATATCAAATATAAATTCTGAAATGATTGATGTGGACTTTGACAAGTTAGAATATAATTATGAAAGACATTAATACATGTATCATGCAAAAATTTGATTTTTATTATCACATTTAATTTGTTACATATATATTATATGATTATCACAGTTTCTTCCTCGGTGACACATAAGAGTGCATGATAAAAAGGCTGCATAACATGGACAACGAATTGTCATGTACTTACTATTGCAATAACAAGAACCAGGTAATTCTAAATCTTTTCAATTCAGATTTTGTTTATGATAATTTGCTGTTGTTCGTAAGAAAATGATTTTTGATGAAATTTGATTGAGTTCAGATCAATTATTAGTATCTAATGGTTTAACTTCATTAAAATGATAGGATATTTCCAATATTCCAGCTGCACATTGCAATGTTAATATTTCATCTTTATTAACATCTAAAATAACATATAAAAGAAATTTTTGACCTCTTTTTTGATCAATCTTTGATATAGAAATCTTGACTTTTTCTCCAATATCATAAAAAAGTTGCTTGTATTTCTTTTTTCATATTTTCTTCAATTTTTTTAGTATTTTCTTGATATTAATTTTTGCTTGTGTACAATATTTTTCATAGTTGTATTAATTTTGATTATAATCATCTATAGTAGCATTATCTTGTACTAATTATTTAATTTTATTAATAAATATTAAATAATAAATATAATATAATATAATAATTAAATTAAAAATTTATCATTGAATTCTAAATATTAGTATTCAGCTTTGAAATATTTTTAAAAATCTTTCTTGTTTGCAAATTATGTGATGAAGAACTTGATATTTTTTTTGTTTGTAATGTATTATTTTTGAAGTTGAATTTTTTACTGGATTATACTAAATATTAATAGTAATTAATTAAATTAAAAATTAATTTAATTATATAATAATAATTAATACTAACCTGTATATTATTTTTATCACAGTTTTGATCTGATTTTTCATATTCAGAAAGTGAATTAACTACAATTTCAATATCTTTTTCATGAATATTATCTTCATTATCAATTTTTGCTTTATTAAGTAGATCAATTAATTAATAATCATTTATAGGATTTTGATCAAAAACTAAATGAAAAGATATATCTTTTGTAGATGAATATTCTTGAGTATTCATTGTATTTATATTAATAATAAATTAAAAATATTAATTAAATAAGTATTAATATTTTTAATAATTATAATAAATTCAATAATTAATAAATCAGAATAGCAGAATTACAGTAAAATTCAAATTTGGTGACGAAAGGTAAAGAAAAATATCCAGTTTAAAAAATACAAATAACTCTGTATCCAGTAAACCAAATTAAATACTTTTGATATCATTAGAAAGACCTTGATAAGGCACATCTAATGGTATCAAAACCATTTAATTTGGTTTACTATATACAGAGATATCGTATCTCAAAAACAACATACAAAATTGTTCAAAATTTTAAATGATTTTGTACATTGTTTTTTTGATGTGATATCTTTGCATATAGAAACCAAATTAAATAATTTTGATATTATTAGAAAGATCTTGATAAGACACATCTAATGGTATCAATATCATTTAATTTGGTTTTCTAGATGCAAAGATATCACGTCACAAAAACAACATACAAAATTATTTAAAATTTTGAATAATTTTGTACATGTTTTTGTGACATGTTATCTCTGTATATAATAAACCAAATTAAATGGGTTTGATATCATTAAATATACCTTATCAAAATCTTTCTAATGGTATCAAAAGCATTTAATTTGGTTTACTGGATATAAAGTTATTTGTATTTTTTAAACTGGATAATTTTCTTTACCTTTTGTTATCAAATTTGAAGTTTACTGCAATTCTGTTAATATCTTAAATTCCTAATGTAAATTAATTCAATATTTATCAAGTTAAAAATAATTTAATTACTTACAAATTATATAATGTAGTCCATTACTTCAATCTTTGCATTCTATATCATTCATTCATGTTCAAATTTTTTTTTAAGTTCTTGATTTCCATGTTCAATTAATTCTTGTAATTGAGAATGATGAGGATGACCATGAATAATTTTCATTGTAGGACATTTCTTTAAAAGCTGATTAATAATATTAGCAATAAATTCTTCACTATTATCAGTATGAAGAATTTTTGGAGGATCATATTTACTGAATATCTGAATTAAAAATCCACAGACAGTAATTGTATCTTTTTTTTGATGCTATAGCCTAAGAAAATCTTGAATAGTGATTATGTGCATGAATAATATATTTAAATTCATTATCCATATTTGATTCTATTAAAACAGTATCAACCTATAAATTAATAAATAGTTATTATATTAATAAACTCAAAATATTTAATAATTATAATTTTACC